GGCAAAGGTTGGTTTAGCTTGGCTGGGGATGAGATGACTGAGTTAGATACATGAACCACTTCCACTCGCAGAATTCTCCAGGTTAAAAAAAAAAATCATTTTCCTGGCTCACATAAGCACAGTTTTATTTCCAGTTCTTTTCTTCCTCTTATCAAACAATGGTTTCCTATTGTCTGCACCGTTGAGAAATATCCAAAGCATTTATAGAATTCAGTACCATTTCCAAATATAGTTTTCTTTTTTAAATTAAAAAAAAATTTCAATTGCAGTTGACATTTTTAGGTGCTCAATTCTATTCTCTTTTTAAAAAGATATATTCTATTAATTATGCTATTACAGTTATCCCAATTGTTCCCCTTTGCCCCCTTCTACTTTGTACCCCCATTCCCTCCAACAGTCCCCCACTTAGTTCATGCCCATGGTTTATGCATATAAGTTCTTTGGCTTCTCCATTATCTATACTGTTCTTATGATTCCCTTGTCTATTTTGTACCTACCAATGTGTGCTTCTTAATCCCTGCACCTTTCCCCCCATTTTTACCCTTTTCCTCCCAGCTGATAACCCTCCAAATGATCTCCGTATCTGTGATTCTGTTCCTATTCTAGTCGTTTGCTTAGTTTGGTATTTGGATTCAATTATTGATAATTGTGAATTTATTGCCATTTTAATGTTCATCATTTGACCTTCTTTTTCTTACATAATTCCCTTTAGCATTTCATATAATAATGGCCTGATGATGTTGAACTCCTTTAGTTTTATCTTGTCTAGTAAGCACTTTATCTGCTCTTTCATTCTAAATGATAGCTTTGCTGTATAGAGTAATCTAAGTTGTAGGTCCTAGCTTTTTATCACTTGGAATATTTCTTGCCAGTCCCTCGTAGCCTATAAAGTGTCTTTTGAGAAATCAGTTGACAGTCTTATAGGAGCTCCTTTGTAGGTAACTCTCTGCTTTCCTCTTGTTGCTTTTAAGAGTATTTATCTTTAACCTTTGGCATTTTAATTATGATGTGTCTTGGTATGGTCTTCTTTGAGTCCATCTTGTTTGGGACTTTCTGTGCTTCCTGGATTTGTATGACTATTTCCTTCACAAAATTAAGGAAGTTTTCTTTCATTATTTTTTCAAATAAATTTTCAATGTCTTGCTCTTCCTCTTCTTCTTCTGGCACCCCTATGAGTTGGATGTTGGTATGCTTAAAAATGTGACAGTGGTTCCTAATCCTCTCTTCATTTTTTAAAATTCTTTTTTCTTCCTGCTGTTCTGATTGTATGCTTTTTCCTTCTTTGTTCTCTAAATAATTCATTTTATTAACAGGTTCATCCCCTCTACTATTGGTTCCCTATAGATTTTTCTTTATTTCACTTAATGCCACCTTCATTTCTGTCTGGGTCTTTTTTATGCCATTGAAGTACTCAATGAGTTCCTGGAGCATCCTGATAACCAGTGTTTTAGGCTGTGCATCTGATAGGTTGCTTATCTCTATTTCATTTAGTTCTTCTTCTGGAATTTTGTTCTGTTCTTTCATTTGGGCCATATTTCTTTGTCTCCTCATTTTGGCAGCCTCCCTGTATTTGTTTCTGTGTATTAGGGAGAGCTGCTTTGACTCCCTATTTTAGCTCACCTGCTAAATCATATGGGGCACAGCCTTAGGTAATCACCAGGGTGGGACAACCCATCTCACCACTCTGTTGCTCTGTGTGGGGGAGGCCTGGCAGAGGGGACAATGCCACTGCCTGGCCTCTAGAGTTTTGCCTGGGAAGAAGCTGTCTCCCTACTTTAATTTCACTCCTCCCCATATGCCACTGGTGCCCTTCCAGCTGTTGCCCTGATGCTGAATCCCAGAAGGAGGGATGGGTCTGTGTGAGTCCTAACTCTGTTGCAGGACCTTTAAGAGGATGCAGTTTCTTCTGCTTTCCCAACCCCCACTGCTTTTCATAGCCAGAAGTTATGGGGTATTAATCGTCCTGGAGCTAGGACCCTGGGCTGGGTGGTTAGGACTGGGACTGGGATCCCTTGCTCCCAAGGTATCCCTCCCATTTTTATCCACCACATGTGGATGTGGGACCACCTGTTCCCATCTCCACATCTCTTGGTGCCTCTCTGCACCTCTCTGCATCTCTGCCCTTCCTGCCTATCTGAATGAATGTGGCTTCTTTAAATGTTTGGTTGTTGGACTACCACACAGGTTGATTTTCCGACAACCCTAGGTGAAATTTGGTTTGTAGTCTAGTTGTATTTTTTGCTATAGTTGTGTATGGAGGCAAGGTGTATTTACCTATCCCTCCATCTTGACCAGAAGTCTCAATTCTTATAGTTCACATTTAATATTCAGTTTTAATGTAGCTTCTTTTTTATATCCTTAGTTATAGTTCTGTTCTTCTCATTATCAGATGGTTCTCAAGGGTGGTAGTTCTATAATTTAGTTGTAATCTTGACATGGTCATGGGAGGAGGTGAGCACAGCACCCACCTACTCCATCATCTTGACTGAAAGTCTCTAGAGTACTTTACATTTGCCCAGTGATCTTATTTTCATTATTGGACTTCTTCAGCTGATTTTCAAAGAATGGTACTGTTTATCACCAGCTCTATCTGACAGAGGATATAGATAGAATTTTATTTTATGATGTTGTTTTATTTTACTTTTGGTAATTCAAAACCTCTCTCAGAATGGAGTACAAGGCTTGCTTGACACTTTGTACTTCAAACAGACAGGCTACTTCCCAGCCTGGTGGCCAAGTCTCCAAGTTGGCATGTTCATCGATGAATAATAAATTTTATGTAAGAGAATGATGCAAGGTGCAAGAACATTTGACAAAAGGGTATTTGAACTCTTCAGATGATACACAATATCTTCCCTCTTAGGAAATTTTAATGAATTAATAGAGAAAAGACTCTGTGTGAAAGCTTTTGTGCTCAATTCAGCCTCTACTACACATTTTGGTGAATGGATTATTCTGGCAGTGTTATCTGCAGTAGGCTAAACATGAGACAATTCCATGTGAAATATTTGGAGTGGCTGAGTTCTACAGCCCATAATATTCTATTATATAGAATGTTTCTGAAATATTCTACAAACCTCTAGAGATTCTGAGTTCTGGATTGGACTGGTCAGTGTGCTCTGTGAATCGGAAGCTGAGATTCACTGTTGTGCAGATGTGTGGCGGCCCCTTTCCTGACAAGGCTTGGCTCAGACGTGCTTGCTTTCCTCTCTGCCATCTAGCACAGAATGCAGATCCTTTAGGTGGAGTTTCAGTGCATTCGTTCCATTTGCATAGATCAAATGCATTCTCCTAGCACTCTTTGGAGCTATTTAAATCTTACTCAATGCCTTAAAAGAGGTATAGGGCATAGATTCTGTGTTAGGAAATAATACCTTATTATTTTTCCTCTCCAAATACACTTTTCTTTAGAAGCAAATCAAATTTCACTAATTTTAAACAGACTTTCAGGTCTTCAGAAGGAGGAAAGTGGTTGAATCTCTTACTCTAAGTGTTTGAATAAAACCCCTGGATGGTTCGAATACTAAAGCCATTTTAATAATGTTATCATTTTCATGCAGTCTCTATCTAAATAGAATGTTTTGACTATCCTTTTCAAATGATGAAGACAAAATAATTTAATCTCTCACTACAATTCTGTATACTTTTTCTAGCTGCCATTGCTCATTTTCCACAGTAGATGGTCCTGTTCCTATGACTAGATGGTTTTATCCCAAACAAGCAGCAGTCTTGTTTACTTGTTTAAAGCAGAGTCTACTTTAAGGCTCTCTATCTAATTTAGTAAATTAGGCCTTGCAGCTCTACTCAGAGAAGATTAGAAGATTTATCCTTTTAACAGGAAATAGATAGTGGTGTCTGTAGGTTTGGAAAGATCTAGAAGAAAAATTTGGGCTACATTGTGCATTTAGACCTGACATATGTCCCAATTTGCCATACCATCGAGCATCAGAGCAGTTGATTATAAACACACTGTATTTAAACAAACAGTCAGTTTCTGTGTTAAATAGTAAACTGAAATTATCCATAAATGCTTCTGCCTTTGAAATAAATGAGGCTCTAATTCAGAATCCTCTAAGTTTGGTGAGGCCTAAACTTTTCAAACAAAAGCTTCATGAGTTTCAAAAAGATTCTCTGTGTCCCTGTTTCCTATCGTCTCCCTTCATCCCAAACTTCTAATTCTGAAGGTGGGATCAGCTGGGTCCCAGGGAGCTTGGAATAAACTGCCTGGATTTGTGGTGAGTGTGTCAGTTCCTATTCTCGCCCCTCCCATGTCACTCACACTGGTTTCCAAAAGAGGGTTGCTTATCCTCTATGAGCTATCAAGTAAATGTGTGGGGATGGTGTGGCCGGTGTGTGCACATGTTACATAAGAAAATTGTGTGTATGGGTGATGGGGTGGCTTATGTGTGCATGTGTGTGAAATCTTTTACAAGGAAATTAGGTTTGTGGGGCCCTGGCTGGCGTAGCTCAGTGGATTGAGTGCAGGCTGTGAACCAAAGCATTACAGGTTCGATTCCTAGTCAGGGCACATGCCTGGGTTGCAGGCCACAGCCTCCAGCAACCGCACATCAATGTTTCTCTCTCTCTCTCTTTCTCCCTTCCCTCTCTAAAAATAAATAAATAAAAATCTTAAAAACAAAGAATATAAAAAATCTGAAAAAAGATTTTTTTAAAGAAATTAGGTTTGTGGGGATGGGGTACATGTGTGTGCTTGTGTGTGCATGTGTGTGTCTGTGTATGAAGCATGCAGACAAAATCTCTGGACTGAGGCTACTCTTGACTTTTGTGGGGCCCTGTGTAGGAGATTTAAATGACAGACTTTTATGGAGTATTTGAAGAGAGCTCTTTTCCACTTCTGGTCTCAGAAGAAATGCTTTTCAAAGCTATTCACTGAGAGTCAGGGTGAGTTCTAAGGCAGGATTGGTTGGCAACTGCAAATGGTGAGGGCATCCATCCATTTTTCATGAAGTTATAATTAACCTACTGTCTGCCTCCCACAGGTTCAGCCTTTGGGAATGAAGACCAGCCAGCCCTGAAGACAACTCTGCCTTCCAAAGACGCACCCAAGGGAGCTGGCCGGGTGGCCCCACCGGTGTCCTCCAGTGTGACAACACCCCGCAGGAGTTTGCTCCCAGCACCAAAATCTGTGTCCACACCCGCTGGTAAGATTGTCTCCTTGGAGTGCTCTTCCTGCATTAAAATGTTTTTTGAAAGTCCCTGTGTATATCATTTATTTAGATAGGATCATAGATGAGTTTCAAATGGCAACGTTAATAATAATAATAGCATTGTTTTTAAGGCACATTCTTTTTTCATATGTTTAAATTATCACAACTGCCTCTCACTCTTCTCCTGAATGGTAACCTGTTGAATCACATAGTTTCAATTGGAAAGCAGGAATCAAGCTATTTATTCTCAGGGAAGGAGGTGCTGATGAAATCACTGGAAGGACTGTAGGAGCAAGCTGTAAGGTGAACTTCCCAGGGAGAGAGTCCCAGAACCCTAAGGGGACCTGCTGCCTCTCCAGGGGCCTGGGGACACTGTTCCTCCTGCTGGCTTCAGGCTCGAGCCACCAAAGCTGGGATCTTGGGATCAATGGCTACTACAGAAGGACTGACCCAGAGCCATGCTTTGCTGACTGGAATCAAACCAGCAAAATGGACGACCCTGCCCTTCACATCCACAAAGCTGGTGACCAGACGCAGGAAACAGCTGATGTAGACATGGGACAGTGAGGGTGCTTGTCAGCAGAAACCACTGAAGCAACCCATGTGTGGCCCTGTCCCGCTGGCTCCTCCTGATCTGATCTCACACACAGAGTCTGCAGAGATGTCCAAGCACATAGTTCTTAGCTTTCCATCCTCCTCACTGTGTGGAGGCATGCTAATAGGAAGGGAGACTGGATGTTGAGCCCTAAGCCAATGCAAAACAAGATCAGTGAGGGCGGGCGATCATTCAGTTGGTTCCCTGCCTAGGATAAGGAGACCGCACACACTGTGTGAAAACCCAGACAGTGTAGAACTAAGTTATCAGGTATGAACTGTGAGAACAAGCAGAAAGCTCATTTTAAAGATTTCAACACTTTCTCTTTTATCTAACTCCAACACCTAAGGCTTCTTTGTATTTCAAAACTATTGTCATTAAAAGATAAATTTTATTACTGAAGTTTAGCTTTTCATTTATTCCAGTGGCTTGAATTTCTAATTTAAATGAAATCTAGTTTCTAAAAAAAGTCATCTTCCACATGGCCTCAATTGTTCATCATCAAGCTAATTAGAAAGTAGAAGGTAGGCACGCAGTATAAGTCTGAAATAATTGGATTCCTTTGAACTGTGAGGTGTTTGGGTTATTTTAATTACTTAGGTCATGCCAACCTTGTTTTAACCCCAGCCATTGGAAACATTTCTGAACTATGATGCTTTGCTCTCTTCCCTTGGTGATTCCAACCTAATGATGGTGAACTCTTGCACCTCTGAGTCACCTGCTCAGTACTGTCATCCAGGATTGTAGATGCCACATGTACCCACAATCAAACATACCCTAAGAGTCCTGGGGCTGCCTCCTTAAACTAGATTCCTGATGTGAGCTTTCTGTGAGTGACTTTTGTCTGGTTCATTTATTCAGCAAACACCTCAGTGCTTATTTTAAGCCACGAGTGACTTGGATTGAGGATAATCAGAACCAACCTTACCCTGGAGACTCTCGCAATGCAGTGGACAGATTTGTAAATGAATAATTAGAGTGAGAGCAAGATTATTTGAAATCTTAGTTGCTGGGTTCCAGTTCATTCTAGCAGACCAAAACTTCATAGTAAGGTGGATTAAGAAACGAGTGACCTGAAAAGGCTTAAGTTAAATATAAATAGGCTTTATTACTTATTTAATTAATCTCTTTCTGTTTTTACTTATTTTTTTATTTAATGACTTTCTAATTTCAGGAAAAATCCAAGGTAGCATGCAGTAAAGGGCCCAAAATAACACAGGTACAAGGATTTAAAATCCTAGTAACCCAAAAGAGAAAATCCTGACAGAACTGGGCTCAGAGCTTCCTGGCTACATGGGCAAAGTAAGCAGCACAATCAGGGGGAGAGGAGCATGTCGATTCATCAGAAGAGAGAAGTTTATTTTCTAGCACAAATATTTCAGATCTAGCACAAATATTTCAGATCTAGCACAAATATTTCAGATTTTAAATCTATGACTGTAAAAACATTCTGTTGAACAGCATAATAGACAATAACTTCAATTGTATGTTTTTAAAACATCTTTTCTGATACTGAAATAATTAGAAATTAGCTTAAAATTTTGGAATAGGAAAAGCCTTTCTTAGCATAACATGAAACCTGGAAACGTTTTTTAAAATGATAGATTCAACTACACAAAAATTTAAAATTTTTATGAAAGACATGAAAAGATAATAAAAGATATCATGGAAGTAAGAAGGATGATAAACTGATAGAAAATGCTGCAACAAAGTGTTAATATGCAAGCAATTAAAAGAATTCTTGAAAATCAATAAGGAAAAATACAACTTAATTTGAAAAATGGGTCAAAGATGTAAATGGGTAATTCACACAGTAGAAGGAAAGTGGTCAAAGGCCATAAACATCTGAGGATTCTCTGTACACCATTCAGTGTGCTTAGGGGTTTGCATGCTCTGCCTCATTTAATGCTGGAGGAAACCAGAGTTTAGAGAAATTAGGTGAAGCCTGCCACCCAGGGTCGAACAGGTTCTGTGTGGCGGAGCAGCCATCCCTCCAGGTCTGTCTGACTTAAAACCTGTACACCAAACCTCTGCTAGCACTATGCTACTTGAAAGTTTACTCGGATGGAGGCCAATTAATTATATTTTATTGAAATAACTACCATTGAAAATACTTCTTATAGATGGAGTTCTTCTTTCTAGGACAATGCATGTGGTTTCCCAGATCCCCGACAATAATTCCAATCTGTCCATGTTCCTCCTTCCCTGGGTTTTCAGACACAGGTTGAGGCTGTGTTGAAACATATTTGGAGGAGGTGTAAAATATGACGCAATCTTGTAATACCATCTTCCTGTAAGATTATTGCCTCACCAACACCAGTGTGATGACAATAGAAAGTGCTGTGGGTTTAATGCTAATGGTGGTGAAATAAATATTAAACATCTTACACATGAGTATGTAAAGGGAAGGTTCCCAAGAATTTTAGGAACTTAGCCTTGGTTTCTTAATGGTTCTTTCTTTTTAAATTTTCAGGGAAAGCTCTCCTACTGTTCACATGTCAAACACAAACTCTCCCCAGCGCATTGATCTATATACTTTTACATGAATTGTCGGGCTTTACCTCAAACTGGTTTGTAGTTGTTGTAGCAAATAGGAAAATATTTTCAGATGAAAATATTGATCTGAAGATAGATTACTTCTTGGTCAATATGTCCTCAGGTTCTGTCATGTTGTCATGATGGATTATAGAAAATAAAATTTCTTTATTCAGCCTAAGGCATAGAAGGATTTCCTGTGGTTATCCACAGGAAAATGAACAGCTGGTGTCTTATTGTTGGGTTCCACTCTACCTAGGGGAAAAAAATCCCTGGGAATAGTGAGGCTGTTACGCTACAAACTACGAAACTCTACTGTATCATAAAAATTAACTTTACTATTTTTAAAGCAGGTTTTTCTTTCTGTGTTAAATTCCATAAATTTTGGTATTTGGGGGCATATTATAATTTAAAAACACAAGTAACTTGTACATGTCATCGACATGTATTTACTGGGTGCTTCCATGTGCACAGGGCCCAGACAGAGCTGCTCTGACAGGTGCCCCGCCCTCCCTCCAGTCGGCCAGGCATCATCTCCCCATAGGGGCACATTTTACATGAAGAAACTGAGGGAGAGCTTTAGGAATAGACAAGACAGTTAAAGGGGTCATTTTAACTGCCACCAGAATCTAGGGTCTAGATGAATTGAGGTGGTTCTTACCGTAGCATGTGATATATGCACCTTGAATGTTAATAGCTCTAAGAGTCAGCTGTTTCCCTGCTAATGAAAGAGTCATAGCCCTTACAGTGTGGAAGCCCAGGCTGATTCAGGAGTGTGTAGAACCTCCGCAGAGTGGGACCTGCAGGAGGCGAGTTCAAAGCAGTCAGGCTGCCCTGGGCTGTTGGTGTTACTGTGTGGTGTTGACTGTGTCCTCCCTGAGGCAGAGTCTCCATTGCATTCACATCTTCAACTTATTTGTCATTGTGAAGCCAACAGAGGGAACAGGAATAGGTTGGGATAAAGGAGGTTATAGGAGAGTAGATGTGTTAGAAAGAATTGGTGGGGGAGAAAAATCAAAGCAATCAATTTGAGACCCATTCCTTTGCATGAGGTCACAGAGACAGAAGGATATAGTGGGGTTGACGTATGGGATGTGTGGTAAGAGGAGTCTTGCATTTCACTATTCTGAGAGTCATTCCTGTTTTCTGTTCTATCTGGCCAGCAGTGGGGAGGGTCCTAGATCCTTGCAGCTGGCCTGGAAGCACCATGAATCATAAGCTGTGACACCAAAGTCAGCCCTCAGTCATCCCAGGCAGTAAGGACAGATGAAATTTGGATGGGCATCCACTCATTCAACAGATGCTTACTGATCACCTTCTTTAACTTGAGCTCTGTGCTGGACACCTGGGGAAATTATGATGAGTGGAGCCGATGGTAAAACAGGAGAAAGAAACAGAAGTCATATATTCAATGATTTAATTACAGTTGTGCTAAGAGCTGTGAAAGGGAAACAAGTGTACAATAAGGTGTTTTGCATAGATGCAACACAGTGTGCAGAGAACACACAGGCAGTGACCTGAAGGGTTGGTAGAAGTTACCAGACAGCAATGGTGAGGACAGCATTCCATGCAGGCGAGCAATGGGAATTCCCTCTTGGTAAACAGTACAGGTCCCGAGGCTTGCTCCCCTTGTAGTCTTTGACTAGGCTGCTAACAATTGGATATCATGTCAGTTTGAAAATATACCCCTCTCCTCCTCCTGACCCTTTTATGAATGAACTTGCAAACCGTAAAGTGGTCCAGACAGACAGCCAGAAAAAGATCACATAGAATCACAGCTACTTTTTCAGTCTCTAGTTTCACTGGTGAGTCCACCCGAGTTACCAGCACTACACAAAGCTTGCTCCTTAAGCAGTTCATTGAG